CCCTTTTTCCTCTTCTCTATATATACGACTCAATATATAAGTAAGTGTTGTCAACTATTAATTATTAACCCTGGATTCTACTTAAAGATTTTTGTTGTTGAAGCGTAGTAATAGCAGTGTCAAAATGCCCTGCCTTGTGTCCGTCATTACAATACAAAATAAACGCATATAAATATACCTCTCTGTCACTATTCTTGTGTTTAGCTTTCTGGAAAACATATATGTAGTCAAAAAGTTCGCCATTGTACTGTATCTCTGCTGATTTCCTCAGAAGAGTAAATGTAAACTCACCTAAGTGGCGTTGTTGGTGACAGCCTCCTCCCCACATCGCTTAATTTTCACTTAATTCACTTACTTTTCACCTAATTCACTTAACTTTCATTTAATTCACTTAATTTTCACTTAACTTTCATTTAATTCACTTAATTTTCACTTAACTTTCATTTAATTCACTTACTTTTCACCTAATTCACTTAACTTTCATTTAATTCACTTAACTTTCATTTAATTCACTTAATTTTCACTTAACTTTCATTTAATTCACTTAATTTTCACTTAACTTTCATTTAATTCACTTACTTTTCACCTAATTCACTTAACTTTCATTTAATTCACTTAACTTTCATTTAATTCACTTAATTTTCACTTAACTTTCATTTAATTCACTTAATTTTCACTTAACTTTCATTTAATTCACTTACTTTTCACCTAATTCACTTAACTTTCATTTAATTCACTTAACTTTCATTTAATTCACTTAATTTTCACTTAACTTTCATTTAATTCACTTAATTTTCACTTAACTTTCATTTAATTCACTTACTTTTCACCTAATTCACTTAACTTTCATTTAATTCACTTAATTTTTACTTATTTAATTCACTTAACTATCATTTAATTCACTTAATTTTCACTTATTTAATTCACTTAACTTTCATTTAATTCACTTAACTTTCATTTAATTCACTTAATTTTCACTTATTTAATTCACTTAACTTTCATTTAATTCACTTAATTTTCACTTATTTAATTCACTTAACTTTCAATTAATTCACTTAACTTTCACTTAACTTACATTTAACTCACTTAACTTTCATTTAAATCACTAAACTCATTTAAATCACTCGACATTCACTTAATTCACTCAAATACCCATTATATATCTGTATTTATCACTCGTTATATCACTCAAAACCCGACTGACATTATACACTATCAATATTCTCATCATTAATCACCGAAGGTTCCAGACACTTTCTACCACAAACCGGCTGGATCATACGGAACAACACTTATTTTCTTCGTTTAATGGCTTTATTATCTTTCCACACCATACATTTCATCTTATATGTTTGAAGCACTATTGTTCTAGGAAGCTTTACAAAAAAAAAAAAGTCGGAGAACAGTCTTAATATATGTAGGTTTAATAAAAATGTTGTCTACCTGGGCACTGGTGGAGTCAACACTAGGTGAAAATAAGTGATGTTGTTTAATTAGTGACTTTTTAATTTGGTGTTTGTGTTCCTTTCTTGATATATAAAAAAATAAAATTAATAAACTAATCCAAATAAATAAGTGAAAGAATTCATTATATATCACATAACTTTGCGATAATTAATAGTATAAATAGGAATTTTTTTTAGAATGTCATAAATTTTTATAGACGCCAGAAGGATTGTTTATACTGTAGCACCTTTCAGGATTTATAGGATCAGAATAGATTGGTTGATATTACGGAACACCTTATAGATGGGATTAAGGCGATTAGTAGTACGAAAACAAAAGGTTCATCCAGAATCATCCATCCCAACAGACTGGTTGATTATTCAGTAGAAATATATGAAATAAATTTAGCGATCTTTTATATTACATAGTATGATATTTATCTTCAAATTTAGTATTATTATTAAGGATTCAGGTTTCTAAAATGTATTATTTTACAATCTCAATCGCAACGGTGGCCATGATGGTTGTGAGTCTTGTGACGTCATTGACTAAGTTCACTAAACGTCTCCGTGTTCCTTAACGCCGCCCTGCTCGTAGCAGTTGAGTTGAATTAACCCTTCTTAAAGCCAGCCACGAAACTAATACCTGTTTTAGAGGATTGCATTGGGAAATCAACTTGTGAAGATGCCTTAAAGGTGACGCCTGATGTTAGTACAATTATATAATGAGATAATTTGCAGGTGGAGTCGCCTCTTTGGCAAGCTGTTACCATACATGACAGCCGGTACTTGTAAGGCTTTCCTTTGAAGTAGCAATCTTTTTATCAGCTCAGACATAAATATCCGGTAGTTAGGTTATAGCTTAGCCTATAGACAAAATAATTTCAAACTAACGATTAAACTGAGAGCATATGTTAACGAGATATTGTCTCCCTAACATTGATGTATGCAAAATTTTGTAGTTGAGCTGGGCAGCAGCAGCCTTGTGGCAGAACTCATGTGCCTGTTATCAACTATAAGTGGTGTTGCTTTAGTCATCAAATTTTCAAGAGCCATTTACTTTGTTTACAGAAGTGAGCATCTAACATCAGGGTCGGCTGCTTACTGGCTTCATAAAGGTAGATCCTAGAAGCCTCCCAACATATTGATGGCCACAGAACACCACCACATCCAGCCGTAGGAACATCAAGTCACAGAGGTAAGACTTGTTACATGATTTAACGTACAAGGTCTTCCTCTAATTTCAGACTCATAACAGTCATGAGGTTGACTTAATACCTGGCCATATACAACGTGTTCATGACTCATTCACTAAAATATCTCCAGTTTACCTCAGTGTCTTATTTTGATTACTACATTAAACTACAAAATGATAACAATTAATAACTACTATAACCTTACTCAAAGTACTTACGGTATATTTACTTAAGAGACCCTAATTTACACTTGATAATCATGACGTTGTAACTAGCGATACTTATACCGGTACTTTTAAAACAAGACATTGATGATAGAGGTTTAATTAAGATGGCTCTCAGGTTTATTTACATGGTAATTGGCAGTAGGTAATTAGCATATCACTATATTATGATACTTTAGTGGAGTAGTATGTCTGTCCCTCCTGTTATCGGGTTTTTCTTCGTTATTTTTTGTAGCTAGGTGTGTGTGTGTGTGTCAAAATATCACGAGTTACTGTTGTTTGATTTTTATTGTTTTGTTTTGATTTTGCTATTAAAAAAAAAAGTCATTTAGATAGATTTATGGAGTTTGTTTTGTGGAATGTTCTCTTTAATACACAATGTCTACTGTAATGACGTACCGAAGGCTTTCAACACCTGGTTATGTATTACACTATGGGTACAGCCGTCAGGTTGAGTGAGGGGCAATAACCTTCCTCTATATATTTCTTCCCGTCCATCTATGGGTCTTAGATTGTACAATGGTCACAGAATCCTTGAGTGAACTACATATCGGGTAATTGGTTAGTATTTACATGAAAGAAAGTGTCCCATATTCGACCATCATCTTTTTCCTCGTATCTGCAACTGTGAGAAAGATGATTAGATCGACCTTATTAAACTAGACACGAAAATGTTAAGACTTCTGTCGCTAATACATTCATTCTTTAATCCCGCCTCTTCCGTCCTCTCTCACCTCCTCCTACCCTCTTCCCTCCTCCTCCTCCCCTCCCTCCTCCCCCTCTTCCCCTCCTCCTCCCCCTACTCCTCCCCCCCCTGGTAAATAAGTGTTTTAGACTACAACAAGTGATCGCGGGCCCTTCGTGCTCTTGTGAAAGTTTTAACGCTCGTGACAGAGTACAGCGAATTAGGGTGCGCCAAGTCCGTAGACTTGCATCGTTTTCCATCGTAAATAAATTTGTTAATTAATGCCTTCCTAAAGAAACCATCGACATGGGACCAGGTTTGTTCCACTCTACGATTTTTTTGCGATTTTTCCATCAAGTTTGATGAAAAACGATTGTGCCGTTTCGGCTGCCCAGAACAGACACACACACACACACACACGCCTAGTCCTATAGTATATTAGATACTAATCATAAATTCTTAATTAATCGTACGTTATTTATTTTTTCCTCGTATCTGCAGCTCTGAGGACATGTTAAGTTACTTCCATCAACACAAGACACGAAAATAGTATCAGATAACTTTTGTGATGTTTAATGCTAATATCTCCATCTTGGTGACTCCCTATGGTGACTCCTTGATTCTCTTGGTGACTCTATCTGGTGACTCCTCCTTGGTGATTCTCTTGGTGACTCACTCCGGTGATTCTTTTGGTGACTCACTGATGATTCTCTTGGTGACTCACTCTGGTGACTCCATCTGGTGATTCTCTTGGTCATTCCATCTGGTGAGTCTCTTGGTCACTCCATTTTGGTGAATCTCTTTTTGCTGACTTAAGTATCTTGGTGATTCTCTTGGTGATACACACACAAACGCACACACACAAAAAACACACACACACACACACACACACACAAAACACACACACACACACACACACACACATACACACACACACACACGTAACCCAGATTCCCACTACTGCATGATCTAACACTGCCTTCCTGGGTGGTGTCGTGTCTCACCCTCATATATACCTGCCGGGGGGCCCCTTCTGCCTTACCTGGGGGAGGAGGGAGACAAAATGAACAGATGGTATACCTAATCCGATTCATCTGATTGGAGGATTAGAATGTGGATAATTGTGGATTGGTTGTGGTGTTTGTTTTGTTGATTTATGTTCGTTGTTTGTTTTTGTTAATGTGTTTTTGTTTTAATGTTGGTATTCTCTCTCTCTCTCTCTCTCTCTCTCTCTCTCTCTCTCTCTCTCTCTCTCTCTCTCTCTCTCTCTCTCTCTCTCTCTCACAGGTGTTGAAAATATCTTTATTTTTAATATTTTCTCTTTGCTGACGTTTATAAAAATCATCATATATCATCGTCACATTTCCCGCGACCTTCCATATAGTTGTTGTTGTTAGACTTGAGGCGAGGAAGTGTTGTGGTGGGAGTTATGTGACAATAAACACAGGTATAACATTTCTTATATTTATTTATCATCATGGTATAAAATATAGTTATTTATCGTAGTATAAAATATAACAAAATAGATCAAACATAACAGTTACAATTTATGAACAATTGTCAAACTTTATCGTGAGCTGTGTGGCTTCCCTGTCGTCTATTGTGGGTACGAGTAGTACGTCTGTGGGGCAGGGGCTGGGACAGGGGCACTGTAACTGTTCCTTGGGGCAGGAGCTGGGGCACTATAGCTGATTATTGGGGCAGGGGCTGGGTCATTATAACTGATTATTGGGGCAGGGGCTGGGTCACTATAGCTGATGATTGGGGCAGGAGCTGGGGCACTATAACTTATTATTGGAGCAGGAGCTGGAGCACTATAAGTGTTTATTGGGGCAGGGGCTGGGTCACTATAACTGATTATTGGGGCAGGGGCTGGGTCATTATAACTGATTATTGGGGCAGGGGCTGGAGCACTATAAGTGTTTATTGGGGCAGGAGCTGGGGCAGGGGCACTGTAGCTGTTCCTTGGTTCAGAAGCGGCGGCCGCGTCCTCCTGACGAGCCTTCTCGATCTGGGCGATGGCGTGGGCGGGGAGAGGTGGGGGCGTGGGCAGCAGGTCAGACTGCACGCGGTAACCTGCACCGTCAGCTACGAAGGTGAAGACTGCGGGTGTTCCGTCAGGGTAAGTGAACCTGTGGGAAGAGTCATAACTGGTCAACACTCCTGCACCTCAACACTCACCTTCACTTCTCTCACTCTAGTCTACATTTATACATTTTTCTCTTCCCTTGTAAGTACTTGTCTTACCAACACCAAACTGGCCTCCCTGTTTACATTGTTCATTCTAAGTGACCGTCACACAGGTCTCTTATAAACAACCTTTGAGCCTTTAACAAGCACTTGAATAAAACCAGCCAGAGATACTCACGACCATCCTCCCTGGGAAGCCACGGCGCCAGTCGGCCCCTGAGGGGCGCCCTGCTCCTGACGACTGATGCCGTCGGCGCTCTCGAAGAGGAAGCTGTAGGCGCCAGTGGCATCAGGTCCTTGACGATCGGACCTCAAGATCTCTACGGGAGGAGACCTAACGCTATATGAAGCTGGGGCACTGGGGGCAGGAGCTGGGGCACCGTAGTTGTACTGTGGGGCAGCAGCGGCCACCGCCAACAGGCAAGACAGGATAAGCTGGGGATGATAAAGAAGCTGTCAGTTCACCTTCCTTCAGCGAGCCATCAAGACGACAGTCACCTTAGTGACGTTTGTGTAGGATGACGTCACTTGCCAGTTACACCAGGGAATATATCACACCAGAACTAAAGACTAAAACTATGGTGAAACAAAAGCTGTTTTAACAGACTTGAAATGTATCACATTGATCACTAGAAAGACATATAAGAAGGTTAGGGCAGCACCAGCCAGGAGGACCCGCCTTACCATGTTCATGTTGCACAGGTTGTCAAGGTTCGACTGTGCCTCTTCCTACCGCCACCCGCCTTTTTATACTGCAGCCATCACCTGCCCAAGGTCACCACCATTTTCACTCAAGTAATGATTGTTTCTCCTGAGGCTGTGAGTGTTGACTGTTATGGTTAACTTGTGGTCACAGTAACACAGGAGCTTTGTCAGTGTCTTGTCTTCATAACACAGGTGAAAATAACTCTTAGTGTCAACTGATCCAACAAGTTTTTCACTGACGTCAACACAACTACAGACTGATGTATAAAGATACATTAATTCTCTTGTTCTTTAACCCGGATATAGATAAATATTTAACTATAAACTTGTTACTGTAACCTGGAAATATACGCTTATTATTGGATTCGACTTGCTGAGGAAAACTCTCAAACATAATACACAAACGAAAAAAGAATCCTAATGTCACCGAAACTTTTGGTAAACTGGAGGTGAACTGACCACTTGGAAACGTTCGAGTCTGGGAGAAATAAAAAGAAAAACATGAAGAATTAGTTGAAAGAAGACGAAAAATAATATGTTGTAATTGAAAACTTTCCTCCTCAACCAAAATATTATGATATACGTCTCCTGCAACAAACACTTTTTTTTTAATTGTTTATGTGTGTGGGGGGGATAAGTGGGGGAGGGGGGGTGAGGGGGTGTTTTACTGAATATATAGACGAATATACAATTTTTGTCTCTGTTAATGTGTTCGCAAGGTTATGTAGTCTGATTCACCTTGATGCCATAACTAAATTGAAGGGGTCGTGGATACAGAGGAGGTCGTGGATGCAGAGGAGGTCGTGGATACAGCGGAGGTCGTCGATCCAGCGAGGGTCGTATATGAGAAATATTAAATTAGTTATTAACCCTGATACTGTCAACACCTCTAGTTTTTTTTATGATATACAGAGTGATCAAAAAGTCTCTATGCACCTGAAATGATTTAATATATTGGTAAATAAGGTAAATCAATATACTGCTTATTAATTGCAGGTGCACAGGGAGTTTTTGATCACCTTGTATCAGTAAGTTGTGGGTGAGGGAATTAAGCAGAGTAATCACATATGTCTTTATTCATCTCTCAGTGTGGTATAAACTCTATATAGATTAAATAACATAACAGTTACAGTCAAAGTTTTATCTTCGTCGTCAGTGTTTACAGCGTTTATCGTGAGCCGTGTAGCTTCCCTGTCGTCTATTGTGGGAACGAGTAGTTTGTCTGTGGGGCAGGGGCACTGTAACTGATTATTGGGGCTGGAGCTTGAGCTGGGGCTGGGGCTGGGGCTGGGGCTGGGGCTGAAGCTGGGACTGGGGCAGGGGCTGAAGCTGGGACAGGGGCTGGGATAGGGAAAGGAACAGGGGTTGGGGCAGGGAAAGGAGCAGGGGCTGGGGCACTGTAATTGTTCCTTGGGGCAGAAGCTGCGGCGGCGTCCTCCTGACGAGCCTTCTCGATCTGGGCGATGGCGTGGGCGGGGAGAGGTGGGGGCGTGGGCAGCAGGTCAGACTGCACGCGGTAACCTGCACCGTCAGCTACGAAGGTGAAGACTGCGGGTGTTCCGTCAGGGTAAGTGAACCTGTGGGAAGAGTCATAACTGGTCAACACTCCTGCACCTCAACACTCACCTTCACTTCTCTCACTCTAGTCTACATTTATACATTTTTCTCTTCCCTTGTAAGTACTTGTCTTACCAACACCAAACTGGCCTCCCTGTTTACATTGTTCATTCTGAGTGACCGTCACACAGGTCTCTTATAAACAACCTTTGAGCCTTTAACAAGCACTTGAATAAAACCAGCCAGAGATACTCACGACCATCCTCCCTGGGAAGCCACGGCGCCATTCGGCCCCTGAGGGGCGCCCTGCTCCTGACGACTGATGCCGTCGGCGCTCTCGAAGAGGAAGCTGTAGGCGCCAGTGGCATCAGGTCCTTGACGATCGGACCTAATAATTGCAACGGGGGGAGCTACAACGACGTTTGTCTGAGTTGGAGCTGGAGCAGCTACTGGGGCCGGGGCAGGAGCTGGAGCAGGAGCTTGGGTATCGGAGGCAGGTGGTGCAGGGGCAGCGTAGTTGTACTGTGGGGCAGCAGCGGCCACCGCCAACAGGCAAGACAGGATAAGCTGGGGATGATAAAGAAGCTGTTAGTTCACCTTCCTTCAGCGAGCCATCAAGACGGCTTTTGTGTAGGATGACGTCACCTGCCAGTTACACCAGGGAATATGTCACACCAACATTAAAGACTTAGGTGATAATTTGTGTAATATAAACCTCGTCAGAAGCTTGAAATACCTCGTATATAAAATTGACCAATATGAAAACATGAAAGAAAGTGAAGACAGTGAGAGGTTACTGCAGCGTGTCTCTTGGCAGTACCAGCCAGGAGGACCCGCCTTACCATGTTCATGTTGCTCTGGGTATGAAGGTTCGAATGTGCCTCTGCTTGCAGTCGCCCGCCTTTTTATACAGCAACCAACACCTGCCCACGGTCACCACCTCACCTCTTGTTGTATCATTCAAACAATGATTGTGATTCCTGAAGCTGTGAATGCTGTTATTGTTGTTGTTCTTGACTTAAGTGCACATTAACACAGGAGCTTTGGTAGTGGCAACAGATTATCACACTAGAGTCGCTACTTCTGACGTTGATCTTTTCATCTTTGGGTAGTACAGCAGATACGTATTGGCCATCACTCTGAAAGCCCAAATATAACTCCTATGTGGCGACAGTACCATTAAATTGCTCCCTTAACCACCCTTAACCACCCTCCACCACAATCATCTTGAAGACAAAGTACACAAAAGAGTTAACAGTTCTCAGCAAACATTCCCTCATGGTGTACTGTCGATGAATTACATAGTTAGAATGATTTACCGACTCGTTCACCTGTGTTTACCGACGTTGAGATAACACACATCTCTCTGCCTTACCTGTACACACATCTTGAAGTTATTTAATGGAGGGTGACCTTTACCTCCCGAGAATATTGTATTAGTGTAAAATAATCTTACCTTTCTCTCTTCCTTAATGTTCCTTAATTAGATGGTTTATATTGAGTTAATTTAGGTTCTTGATCATGTAAACTAACAAGAATTCCAACTAGTCACCTGTCCACCTGTGATGATGTTAGGTAAAGAGGTTGAGAACTCGTACACAACCAATAACAGGGATCATACCTCACCACACCTTCTCTTTCTCACCGTAAATATGATAAATGTATCCCACAAACCTATTCTTTACTTACACTCTAAAGTCAAAATATTACCTCTTCCTTACTTTCATCAGAGGTTATTAAGCTATTCCTTATACAGTCACTTAAAAAATTTATCTATACAAAATTGGGTTGAGAAAATATGACACAACGGATGAAGGATTTTGACAACCCTACCGAGACAACAGGAGTCGTAGTGTTCATTCTGAAATTCATCGATCACCCCAAGTATAGATAGTTTTTTTGAGTGACTGTATGTAGGTGTGATAACTTAAGATCATTCCATTTCAAAGTGTTAATTACATAGTTATATATATACATTACATATATATATATTTCACCTGGTGGGAGGGGGGAGGGGGGGTTCTGTACCTGTGCCTTACACCTGTATCGTACCTATAATAATGATTCTCTATAGCCGTGTTATCAATACATTTTATAAAGGGAAAGTTATATTTCTTCCTATATTAAGGCCAAGTTATGTTACGACTTATGTTAAAGTGTTATAATGTTTGTAAAATAACATAACTATAAAAATTCGACTAGTAATTCCTCATTCCTCAATACATTTGCTTTCCATGGCCGTGTGTGTGTGTGTGTGTGTGTGTGTGTGTGTGTGTGTGTGTGTGTGTGTGTGTGTGTGTGTGTGTGTCGTAACGCTCAACATTGCATATTTTGGTGACGTTAAAGGAATCTTCTACATATTTTGCTGCATCTAATGAATTCCAGGTCAGGTGAAGGGTGAGGAGACACACAGTGAGGAGATGGTTGAGGTGAAAGAAGTACAGTAGGGAGATAGTTGTGAGGAGAGAGAGAGACACAGTAGGGAGATAGTTGTGAGGAAGAGAGAGGCTGTATATGAGAGATAGTTGTGAGGAGTGAGAGAGAGAGAGAGACACACACAGTAGGGGAGATAGTTGTGAGGAGAGAGAGAGAGACACGGTAGGGAGATAGTTGTGAGGAGAGAGAGAGAGACACGGTAGGGAGATAGTTGTGAGGGTGAGAGAGACACACACACGGTAGGGGAGATAGTTGTGAGGAGAGAGAGAGACACGGTAGGGGAGATAGTTGTGAGGAGAGAGAGAGACACCCAGTAGGGAGGTAGTTGTGAGGTTGAGAGAGAGAGAGAGAGAGACTACGGTAGGGAGATAGTTGAGGGTGAGAGAGAGACACACACACACGGTAGGGAGATAGTTGTGAGGAGTGAGAGAGAGAGAGAGACACACACACGGTAGGGAGATAGTTGTGAGGAGTGAGAGAGAGACACGGTAGGGAGATAGTTGTGAGGAGTGAGAGAGAGACAAAAAATCAAGATTGAGGGGTAGGAGGAGGAGGAAGAGAGGAGATGGATGAAGGAGGAACAGTAGGAAAACAAGGGAAAGGGAGAAGGGAGGAGGGGAGATGGATGAGGGAGGAAGGAGGGAGATGGATGGGGAGGAGAAGGGAGGAGGGGAGATGGATGAGGGAGGAAGGGAAAGAGGAGGAGGCAATGAAGGAACATCTCCACGTTTGTGTCGAAAGAGCAGAACGTCTGGAGTGTGTCGGGTGGTGTAATCCTCCTCCTCTTCCTCCTCTTCTTCCTCCTCCTTCAGTAATCTCCCTTCCTCTTCCTCCTCCCTCAATAATCTACCCTCTTCCTCCTTCACTTCCCTCCTGTCCTTTCCTCCTCCTCCTCCTCCTCCTCCTCCTCCTCCCTCCTTCTCCTCCTTCCTCACCTCATCCATCTCCCTCCTCTTCCACCCCCCCCCTTCCTCATCCATCTCCTCTTCCCCCCCCTTCCCTCATCCATCCAACGCCATTATTCATCCACCAATCTACTATAGTGGATGATTTTTTACCTACCAGAAGAAGAATTTGTTTACCATAATAAACAACAACAAACAAACAAACAAATAAACAACAACAAACAAGTGAATAAACAACACACAGACAAACAAACAAACAAATTACGTATTATCTAAAGCTGAGTTGTTTATTTTTCCCGTCCATATTCATTTGTGTGTTGGAGAAGGTCTGGAAGATGTTGGAGAAGGTCTGGAAAGTGTTGGAGAAGGTCTGGAAGATGTTGGAGAAGGTCTGGAAAGTGTTGGAGCAGGTTTGGAAAGTATTAGAGAAGGTCTGGAAAATGTTGGAGAAGGTAAGGAAAGTGTTGGAGAAATTGTGATGTTGGAGAAGGTCTGGAAAGTGTTGGAGATCTGAAAAGTATTGGAGAACATCTGGAAGTGTTGGAGAAGATCTAGAAAATGTTGGAGAAAGAAGAGGAGAACAAGTGTCAATTGATGATATTAATAATTGATGTCGTACAGTAAATACATCAAGACTCAACACCTGTTACTACAACATCATAACACCTGTAGTGACATATGCCGAGAAGTGTGACGTAGTGATGCACCTTTGTGTACCTGGGGGCTAATGATACACCCACAGGTAAGTTGTATATCGGGGTGTAATGCAACCTCTTGTGTTGTTACGTCAGCAGGTCGGGGATATATGGCGTGGATGAGTACAGACAAATGTATTATAAGCGAGCTTGGTTCTTATTTGTGTTATAAATACGTTCAAGTAACAGAATTGTCATGTGGAATTTATAAGTTGTTGTTGTTAGACTTGAGGCGAGGAAGTGTTGTGGTGGGAGTTATGTGACAATAAACACAGGTATAACATTTCTTATATTTATTTATGATCATGGTATAAAATATAGTTATTTATCGCAGTATAAAATATAACAAAATAGATCAAACATAACAGTTACAATTTATGAACAATTGTCAAACTTTATCGTGAGCTGTGTGGCTTCCCTGTCGTCTATTGTGGGTACGAGTAGTTTATCTGTGGGGCAGGGGCTGGGACAGGGGCATTATAACTGTTCCTTGGGGCAGATGCTGCGGCGGCGTCCTCCTGACGAGCCTTCTCGATCTGGGCGATGGCGTGGGCGGGGAGAGGTGGGGGTGTGGGCAGCAGGTCAGACTGCACGCGGTAACCTGCACCGTCAGCTACGAAGGTGAAGACTGCGGGTGTTCCGTCAGGGTAAGTGAACCTGTGGGAAGAGTCATAACTGGTCAACACTCCTGCACCTCAACACTCACCTTCACTTCTCTCACTCTAGTCTACATTTATACATTTTTCTCTTCCCTTGTAAGTACTTGTCTTACCAACACCAAACTGGCCTCCCTGTTTACATTGTTCATTCTAAGTGACTGTCACACAGGTCTCTTATAAACAACCTTTGAGCCCTTAACAAGCACTTGCATAAAACCAGCCAGAGATACTCACGACCATCCTCCCTGGGAAGCCACGGCGCCATTCGGCCCCTGAGGGGCGCCCTGCTCCTGACGACTGATGCCGTCGGCGCTCTCGAAGAGGAAGTTGTAGGCGCCAGTGGCATCAGGTCCTTGACGATCGGACCTCAAGATCTCTACGGGAGGAGACCTAACGCTATATGAAGCTGGGGCACTGGGGGCAGGAGCTGGGGCACCGTAGTTGTACTGTGGGGCAGCAGCGGCCACCGCCAACAGGCAAGACAGGATAAGCTGGGGATGATAAAGAAGCTGTCAGTTCACCTTCCTTCAGCGAGCCATCAAGACGACAGTCACCTTAGTGACGTTTGTGTAGGATGACGTCACTTGCCAGTTACACCAGGGAATATATCACACCAGAACTAAAGACTAAAACTATGGTGAAACAAAAGTTGTTTTAACAGACTTGAAATGTATCACATTGATCACTAGAAAGACATATAAGAAGGATAGGGCAGCACCAGCCAGGAGGACCCGCCTTACCATGTTCATGTTGCACAGGTTGTCAAGGTTTGGCGACTGTTCTTCCTCCTACAGCTGAACGCTCTATATACCCACCGTCTGCCCCCGGCCAAGGTCGGCCGCACCTCCTACACGAGGGAGAGGGACCGGACAGACCCTCGCCCCAGGAGGTTCCAGCCTCTGACGAGAAAGGGAGCATTTGCTCTCACTTACGACAAGGTCACTTACTTTAACGTAACCACACACAAATAATGCTTAGACCACAGTGTTTTGTAAATAAACGAAATGACTCTGTTACATATAACTAAAAGTAGTGAACAAGGGCGGGACAGTGAGAGCGGAACTCAACAGGCGGGAAGTGATGGCGGGGACTCCTCAACACAATCGTTAAACATTATGTAACGCGGGTATAAGTTCTCCGGGTCCGTGGGTCTACCGGGTCGCTCTTCGCTAACGGGGAAGAAGGAACATCTCACCATCTGTATTCTTCTTCGTGTTGTTTCCTTCTCTCTCCTTCGAAAAGAGAATTCATAGGATTATCTGACCTTCTTCTTCTTCTTCTTCTTCTTCTTCTTCTCCTAATGTAAATAATTAGTTTCCAGAAGGACGAATTATTATTATCTGAGGAATGTGTATTTTTGTTGGCCCTTGACTGAAAGAGGCTGAGGGGTATTGTCAAAACTAACTCTCTCTCTCTCTCTCTCTCTTCTCTCCTCTCTCTTCTCTCTTCTCTATAAACAAATGGGTTTCTGCAAATACATACACAGAACACACACACACACACACACACACACACACACACACACACACACACACACACACACACACCTATACAAACACAGACATTAACACACACACACACACACACACACACACACACACACACACCTTTTAAAATGAAGCGGTAACGCCCTTAAGGATTTTAGATACGTAGCAACCGAACACACTCTCCTCCTCCCTTCTCTCCCTTAAACAGGTAGGCCGACAGATAAGGAGGTGAGTAAAAAAGATTGAAAGTAGCGGCTCACCTGTATATATAAGTATGGTGACACTGAGACAGGTAGGGTATAGGGTTGATTTGCTTATTGTTGTTGATCAAGCAATTTGTGCTAATGAGAGGTGAGAGGGAGAGGGAGGGTAGGAGAGAGGGAGGAGGGTAGGAGAGAGGAGGGAGGGTAGGAGAGAGGGGAGGGGAGGGGTAGAGGGCGTGGGAGGGTAGGGAGAGAGGGAGGGAGGGAGGGAGGGGAGGGTAGGGAGAGAGGGGGAGGGAGGGGTAGGGAGAGAGGGAGGGAGGGCTTGGAGAGAGGGAGGGGAGGGTAGGAGAGAGGGAGGGAGGGAGCCGGAGAGAGGGAGGGAGGGGCTTGGAGAGAGGGGAGGGAGGGTAGGGAGAGGGAGGGGAGGGAGGGAGGGAGGGAGGGAGGGAGGGTGAGAGAGAGGGGAGGGAGGGTAGGGAGAGAGAGGGAGGGGAGGGTAGGGAGAGAGGGAGGGAGGGTAAGTTTGTATGGGTAAGGGATGAAAGGGGTGGTGAAAGGGGGAGGGGTGGGTAAGGGGGTGGGGGGAGGAGGGAGGGAAGTGTAGGAGAGAGGGAGGGAGGGTAGGGAGAGGGAGGGAGGTAGGAGGGAGGGAGGAGGGCTTTGGTAGAGGGGAGGGAGGGCTGGTGAGAGGGGAGGGAGGTAGGGAGAGAGAGAGGGAGGAGGGTAGGGAGAGAGGGGAGGAGGGGTAGGAGAGAGGAGGAGGGTAGGAGAGAGGGAGGAGAAGCCGAAGCAGGAGTGCTGGGGGCAGTGTGTTGCCGACGTGTTGCTGTGTGTGTGTGTGTGTGTGTGTGGGTAGGTGTGTGTGTGTGTGTGTGTGTGTGTGTGCACAGTTGTCACGCAAGCAACATCACCTGAAAAGAGTGTTGATATTATAACGAAAACTATGTCACATCCTCTCTCTCTTGATAACACGTATACTCGTATATCCGGCTGTTGGTGCAGGTCAGGGTTTAAGTTGTAGAGGCTCCCATAGTACAGCAAGTGGTAAGGTATATTATAGATAGACTGGGGGCTGATTATGACTCAGGGCCTATTAGGACTGGGGGCTTATTATGACTCAGGGCCTATTAGGACTGGGGCTTATTAAGACTCCAAATATTAGGGACTGGGGGCTTATGACTCAGGGCCTATTAGGACTGGGGGCTTATTATGACTCAGAGCCCACAGACTGGGGGGCTTGCTGGCACTCCAGGGCCTACAGACTGGGGCGATAGCAGACTGCAGGCCTATTAGGACTGGGGGCTTATTATGACTCAGGCCTATTAGGACTGGGGCTTATTATGACCAGGCCTATTTTGGACTGGGGCTATTATGACTCAGGGCCTATTTGGACTGGGGGCTTATTATGACTCAGGGCCTATTAGGACTGGGGGCTTATTATGACTCAGGGCCTATTAGGACTGCTGTATGTTAGCACTGGGGTCTATTAGCACTGGGGTCTATTAGCACTGGGGTCTATTAGCACTGGGGTCTATTAGCACTGGGGTCTATTAGCACTGGGGTCTATTAGCACTGGGGTCTATTAGCACTAGGGTCTATTAGCACTGGGGTCTATTAGCACTGGGGTCTATTAGCACTGGGGTCTATTAAAAGTGAATCAAAATACAGACAATGCAATTTTGTCTTTATTCCACCATTTTTCCTCTGATAATTTCAATAGTTGAGACCAAATCTATAAATAATGAACTAAATGTGTATGAATAAAAGTTCAATAAAGGTTCAATAAAAGTTCAATAAAGGTTCAATAAAAGTTCAATAAAGGTTCAATAAAAGTTCAGTGAAAATTTAATAAAAGTTCAGAATACAATTGTCTAGTTGTTCAGTATCACCTGTTCACAGTGTTTCACGTTACATTATACAATTGAAGGAATGAGGAACTTTTGCTTACGTTGCATGACTGAGGTGTATGTCACATGATGGTGACCTGACACACACACACACCTGACACACACCTGACACACACACACCTGACACACACACACACACCTGACACACACACACACACCTGACACACACCTGACACACACACACACACACACCTGACACACACACACACACACACACCTGACACACACACACACACACACACCTGGATACACACACACCTGACATAATAATAATAATCTGACACACACACACACACACACATCTGACACACACACACCTGACACACACCTGACACACACACACAATCTTTTGACAATAATCTTTGGGCTTAAGAGGTTAGCCATTAACATCGTTCGCATTTTATTGTTCATTCCACTGAATTTTAAAATATATGAGGTATTTTTTCCCTTTCTAAACTGTATTAGACATTTTTTCTTTCTTCTTCTTCTCTCTCTCTCGTATAAAGCTAATGGGTCAGAGACTATAACACCCAGGAGGCCCATAACCGCCTATATCACCCAGGAGGCCTATAACCGCCTATATCACCCAGAGGCCTATAACCGCCTGGTATCACCCAGGAGGCCTATAACCGCCTATATCACCCGAGGCCTATAACCGCTTATATAACTCAGAACTGAACTCTACATTCTCCACCACCACCACCACCAGCACATAACATCTCCTCCTCCCTCCTCCTTCCCCCCACCAAACAAACCTCACAGATAAACCCTAACCTAACCTAACCAACATCCATCATCGTAATGACTACCCCAAGTGCTTTGATTACACAGTATACGCCTTTCATTGTTGCTCACACATGCTTGCAAACACGCCCTTGAGGTAGCGTGTTTGCTTCCTCCTCTTGTGTGTTGCTCAGGTAATGTTTCTCATGCAAATTTAAGAGGGTTTTTTTTCCTTTTGCATTGCTAGGACAAGGGAGGTGCATAGCTATAGATAAGGGAAGTACATAGCTAGGATAAGGAACTGTATAGCTATGACAAGGAACTGCATAGCTAGGACGAACGTTTATGTACTTGGGGAGAACAGAGAGAGAGGGAGAGACAGAGTGAGAGAGAGAGAGAGAATGAAAGAAAGGGAGTGAGGGAGATGGTAGATAGAGAAACAGAGAGAGAGAGAGAGAGAGAGAGAGAGAGAGAGAGAGAGAGAGAGAGAGAGAGAGAGAGCAGAGTGAGCGAGAGAGAGAGAGAATGAAAGAAAGTGAGTGAGGGAGATGGTGAGATAGAGAAACCGAGAGAGAGAGAGAGAGAGAGAGAGAGAGAGAGAGAGAGAGAGAGAGAGAGAGTGAAGGCGGCTGGAAAGAACAACGGTCACTTTCACTTTCTCTCAGGTACACGGTAGTTCCTCAAGGTCAGCACTAAGCGAGTAGGTATTGCTGGAGAGACGATGACACGTGGGTGGTGAAAGGAAAGAGAGAGAGAGAGAGAGAAAGAGAGAGAGAGAGAGAGAGAGAGAGAGAGAGAGAGAGAGAGAGAGAGAGAGAGAGTACTTGTTGCTGTTTCTCTCAATCCGTGTAACTTATCTCTACCACCACATAGTATCAAGGGTCTCTAAACTCCTCCACCTCCTGCTACACCTACTCCAGCTTCTACTCCTCCTTATGGTGCCCATGCTTCTGACCCACGCAATAATACTGACCCGCACAATAATACTGACCCATACAATAGTACATAATACTGACCAAGCTCCCCCCCCCCCAAAAAAAAAGTAGATTTATTTATTATTTGTGGAGTATAAAAAGTTGTGAACTGTTTCCTCATACTGTAGTGTGTGTCATAATATGCTACTGGTTCACTAGCTCGTGCAGGTTTGACTTTACAACTCTGACAGGTAAGATCCTAGGTGGGTAGGAACCCGACCGGAGGAGGGCTTGCTTCCTGCTCTCTCTGTCTGACATAAGAACATAAGAACATAAGAATGGAGGAAACTGCAGCGGGCCTATTGGCCCATACTGGGCAGTCCCGTTTACACCCAACCCCTATTGCTCATATAAGCATCCAACCTATGTTTGAAGCTATTCAACGTATTCGAGTTAATGATGATATTTGGTAACTTGTTCCATTCATCCACTACTCTGTTTCCAAACCAATGTTTACCGATTTCACGCCTAAATCTAAATTTGTCTAATTTAAAACCATTGTTACGAGTTCGCTCCTGGTTGGATAGTTTGAGTACCTTTGTAATGTCCCCTTTGTTTAGCCCTGCCTTCCACTTATACACCTCTATCAGGTCGCCCCTTGCTCTACGTCTCTCGAGGGAGTGCAAATTAAGATGCTTTAGCCTGTCTCTATACTCAAGGTTCCTAATGCCCGGGATTAGTCTTGTCATTCTCCTCTGAATTCTTTCCAAGGATTCTATATCCATTCTGGAATACGGTGACCAGAACTGAACTGCGTAGTCCAGGTGTGGTCTCTCGTGAGGTAGGGCTACGACGTCCTATATATTGGGAGACCAGCCGTCAGGTTGAGCTGATCGGGGGGACGGCGAAGGGTCTCCTTACATTTGACCTCGCTAATGTAGGGTCAGGTCTGGACTTTTTCTGAGACTAAAGTTGTATATATTGGAGACAGGTGGCCTCTTCTTCTGACTGGGTGCCTGTAAACATCGTTGGTGGGGCCATGTGACGTGGGGAGGGGTGCTGGTTGATTTGTAACCCCCTTGAGCGGCCGCGAGGGGTACCCTTACACTTGACCCCCCTAATGTCGGGTCAGGTCTGGACTGTTTCTGAGATGTAAGCTGTGGTCTGACAACCCATCACTACACCTCCCGCCAAGACCAAAGCTTTCATGCTCAGAGAACTGATGACACATACAGACAGTAACATCATGTGTAGTATCTAAAAAAGTCCCTGAGACGATAATGCATCCTTACATTTTACAAACAATAACCTGAGAGATGTATGTGTTTCTACTGGTATAGTTTGATCTGACAAAGCTTACTATACCTCCCGCCAAGATTAAAGCTTCTATGCCAGGAGAAAAATAAATAAAACATATACACAGTAAGTGAACATAGAGTGAGCTAAAGATCCTTCATATCTAGCATAGTGTCCGAGGCAAACTTGCAAACCACATTCTACAAACAATAACAGGTGTTACATTGCCTAACCAGGCCGTGTCAAAATAATAATTCGTCCCACTCAGTAGTATGTCTACAACCTTGCATTTGGTAATACAAAACATTGATCAAATGAACTCATAGAAAAAGTGACTAATCTTTCTTAAAAAAACACTCTTTGTAGTACAAGTTAACAAAAATCAGAGAATGAACGCCCTTAACTCATGAGACATAAAGGCAAGCATGAACTTAGCATGCTTCCCTGTTGGGCGCTGTAAACGCTAATGCGCTTCACCTTACACAAGGATGTAGGGGAGTGCCCAATAAATAAATAATAATAAATAAATAGATACCTTCCTAGGGTTATGCTTTCTATCGAGGAGCCGCCCTAGACAGTAGCGGGTGTAAAGTAGTCATGGTCCTATTTAATCAGGATGTGTTAGGTCCTTGGGAGCTTGGATTCAACGGGGGTTTATTCAGCTGTAGGATTCCATGCAGGATGTGAGATTTTGTAGCAGTTAGGATCTGGTGGAGCTAGATACTACCCAGCTAGGATCTATTAGAGCTAGGTACTATGCAGCTGAGACACAGTGGTTAAGGCTGACGATAGAACGGGGAAGGCGGGGGGAACGGCGGTGTGGCGGAAGGCGGCTTGACGGTGTAGTGCTGGGATGTGACTGTGGCGGCGTCCTCCTGACGAGCCTTCTCGATCTGAGCGATGGCGTGGGCGGGGAGGGGCGGGGGCGTGGGCAGCAGGTCAGACTCCACGCGGTAGCCGTACTCGTCTGCTACGAAGTTGAAGTCAGCGGGAGTTCCATCAGGGAACGTAAACCTGCAACCCATAATATTATAATTAGCTTCATCACCAACAGCTAAAAGTTTCAAACTATCAACAAAAAATATATTTCATCTCTACGTCATTGTGTGTTGTTATTGGTTACTCACGACCATCCTCCCTGAGACGCCACGGCGCCAGTCTCCCCCTGGGGGGCGCCCTGCTCATGACGACTGATGCCGTCACCAGTCTCGAACTCGAAGTTGTAGTTGCCGAACTCATCAGGTCCCTGACGCTCGTCAGCATTTATAAAGATGTGTTGGTCCGGGCTGAGGTATCTTACAGGAACTGGGGCAGGGGAGAGGACAGGAACTGGGGCAGGAGGGAAGACAGGAACTGGGGCAGGAGGTAAGACAGGAACTGGGGCAGGAGGGAAGACAGGAACTGGGGCAGGAGGGAAGACAGGAACTGGGGCAGGAGGGCTGGCAGACGGAGGAGCTGGTGGCCGCTGCGTCGCCGAGCCACACACCAGCAGGTACACGACGAGCAACTATAACAAGGGACTCAAATTAATCAAGGTACCTGTCCTAAGGGTTGGCGACCGCAGCCCACTACTCTGTCTTGTATACATGTCTTTACCAATCCTACCAGATGTACTTGTTTCTGTCACCGTTGTAACACCATTAGTAACACCATTCACATAATCAACGTCTGTGAGTGGCGGCAGAGTCACCATCAACTCCTTGTAATCTCTCTCTCTATAAACACCCCTCCCTCTCACCCACCCACACACTGCACCCCACCATCACCCTCACCATACCTGTCCTTTTTCCTCTCACTCCTTCCATTCTCTTCTCATTGACTTCCTCCTCTACCTTCAACCTTCCCTCATCCACCCCATGATCATATTACTCCACCATCAATCACCATCAATCATCATCATCAATCATCCATTCACTTCAGGTATCATCACTACTTAACCATCCACACCCATGACAAAATTCCACAGCACTAATTTAAACTTATTTCCCACTTCAAATATAAACCACATATCACTATCACTTCAATCAGGGTTAAACAAATGCTAAATAAACAATAATAAACCAAACACAGCAGGTCATCACTAAGAATATAAACCAAACACAGCAGGTCATCACTATGGATATAAACCAAACACAGCAGGTCACCACTAAGGATATAAACCAAACACAGCAGGTCACCACTAAGGATATAAACCAAACACAGCAGGTCACCACTAAGGATATAAACCAAACACAGCAAGTCACCACTAAGGATATAAACCAAACACAGCAGGTCACCACTAAGGATATAAACCAAACACAGCAAGCCACCACTAAGGATATAAACCAAACACAGCAAGTCACCACTAAGGATATAAACCAAACACAGCAGGTCACCACTAAGGATATAAAACCAAACACAGCAGGTCACCACTAAGGATATAAACCAAACACAGCAAGTCACCACTAAGGATATAAACCAAACACAGCAGGTCACCACTAAGGATATAAACCAAACACAGCAAGTCACCACTAAGGATATAAACCAAACACAGCAGGTCACCACTCAGGATATAAACCAAACACAGCAGGTCACCACTAAGGATATAAACCAAACACAGCAGGTCACCACTAAGGATATAAAGTCACCACTAAGGATATAAACCAAACACAGCAGGTCACCACTAAGGATATAAACCAAACACAGCAAGTCACCACTAAGAATATAAACCAAACACAGCAGGTCACCACTAAGGATATAAACCAAACACAGCAAGTCACCACTAAGGATATAAACCAAACACAGCAGGTCACCACTAAGGATATAAACCAAACACAGCAGGTCACCACTAAGGATATAAACCAAACACAGCAGGTCACCACTAAGGATATAAACCAAACACAGCAGGTCACCACTAAGAATATAAACCAAACACAGCAAGTCACCACTAAGGATATAAACCAAACACAGCAGGTCACCACTAAGGATATAAACCAAGCAGCAGGTCACCACTAAGAATATAAACCAAACACAACAGGTCACCACTAAGGATATAAACCAAACACAGCAGGTCACCACTAAGGATATAAACCAAACACAGCAGGTCACCACTAAGGATATAAACCAAACACAGCAGGTCACCACTCAGGATATAAACCAAACACAGCAGGTCACCACTAAGGATATAAACCAAACACAGCAAGTCACCACTCAGGATATAAACCAAACACAGCAGGTCACCACTAAGGATATAAACCAAACACAGCAGGTCACCACTAAGGATATAAACCAAACACAGCAGGTCACCACTAAGAATATAAACACAGAAATAAAGAAATAATGGACTTAGCTATTATACGTGTCGTCGTGTGACCTCACCTCTCTCATACCGGCAAATGACTCATCCAGCACCGTGTTGTGTCTTATATAAATGATGGAACAACCTCTGACGTTATCATGGGATGCTATTAAACCTTGGACCTGTTTACGTGATGGTGTGACCTGTAGTGACGTGTTTGTGTTCAGTTAACGTAAGACAGACACACAGACAGACAGACACACAGACAGATAGACAGACAGCCAAACGACAGCAAGAGAGAAAGACTAGACTGATTGAAGTGCTGAACAACCCACAAACTCGGCTCCCAAGCTTTCCCCTGCTTGCTTTGGCTTCCACCCTGGTCCACTGTTTTCTGTATTCAGGTTACATCTTATTCCTCGCTCTTCATGGACAGACAAACATTTACACACACACATGCACACACACACACGCACATATATGTATACACGTATTTGCAGTCACACGTATATATACACACATGCATATACAGTCACACATATATATTGTACATGCATATAAACATACGCACACACGTACAAACACACGTACACACACACACACACGAACGAACGAACGAGGGTATTCTCATATTTCTATCGTCATGTCAAACACCTATCATACGCTCATACATTTATCCATGACACCAGTAAGGCGACAAGGTGAAAGGATACCCGCCCTCCATAACGCCACCTGCTTATCATTATCCTAGTCTCTGCTTTCATGTTCTCCTTAATTACGTCACCAAATCACTTTCACCAATGTATTATACTATAGTCCCAACCTAACCCAACCTAACCTAACCTAACCTAACCTAACCCAACCTAACCTAACCTAACCTAACCTAACCTAACCTAACCCAACCTAACCTAGTTTTTACACACTGGTAACTCATTCACTGTTTATCTTCAACGTTTGATCTTAATCTCTCTTCCACGTGTGATCTTAATCTTTCTTCCACGTGTGATCTTAATATCTCTTCCACGTGTGATCTTAATATCTCTTCCACGTGTGATCTTCATCTCTCTTCCACGTGTGATCTTAATCTTTCTTCCACGTGTGATCTTAATCTTTCTTCCACGTGTGATCTTAATATCTCTTCCACGTGTGATCTTAATATCTCTTCCACGTGTGATCTTCTATCTCTCTTCACGTGTGATCTTAATCTTTCTTCCACGTGTGATCTTAATATCTCTTCCACGTGTGATCTTCATATCTCTCTTCCACGTGTGATCTTAATCTTTCTTCCACGTGTGATCTTAATCTCTCTTCCACGTGTGATCTTAATCTTTCTTCCACGTGTGATCTTAATATCTCTTCCACGTGTGATCTTAATATCTCTTCCACGTGTGATCTTCATATCTCTCTTCCACGTGTGATCTTAATCTTTCTTCCACGTGTGATCTTAATATCTCTTCCACGTGTGATCTTCATATCTCTCTTCCACGTGTGATCTTAATCTTTCTTCCACGTGTGATCTTAATATCTCTTCCACGTGTGATCTTAATATCTCTTCCACGTGTGATCTTCATATCTCTCTTCCACGTGTGATCTTAATCTTTCTTCCACATGTGATCTTAATATCTCTTCCACGTGTGATCTTAATATTCCACTTGTGAATTTAATTTCTCTTACTTCATGCTTCACGAAGGTTATGGGTGCTGCCAAGGTCACCCAGAGGTCACGAGAGCTACTGGAATTATAATAACACTAGAGGTACTTCGAAACACATTATCCGACGCTCTTCTTCGTTGGTCTAAAGTTTATTATTTGGTAAACGGATCGGTTACTTGAGACTGTCCGTGTGGCTATTTTGTTATTTTCACTGGTAAGATGGCGTATAGCTAACTATTATTTAAGGGTAGAAATAACTGGGGAACTAAAGCAATACCCTTGGGAACTCCACTGTTAAGTTATTCCGTTTTCTCTCTTTTTGTTCTTTTGGGGGGACTCAAGAAGATGGTATCCGGGTGAAGTATAAGGGTCAACCATCTTCTTCCACAACTTTTAAGGATTGAATAAAATAATAAAAAAATTTCCTTTTACTTTATCTATGTTATGACTCGCATCAGTTACACACACGTGGAAGTTTTATACTCTGTGAAGTTTACTTGTATCATAAAACTTCAGTGTTAGTTGTGGTGTTGGGAAGTCATATCAATCACCACTGGTCTCCTCCTCTTCTCTCTCTCAGTGTCAGCCGTTGTTACTGATATAAACTGGTGATCCCTGGTGATTCTTTCTACCTAGGGAGGGTGCCAGGTGCCGAGGTATAAGGTGTCAGGGTGCCAGTGTGACAGGTGCCAAGGTATAAGGTTCAGGGTGCCAGTGTGACAGATGCCAAGGTATATGGTTCAGGGTGCCAGTGTGACAGATGCCAAGGTATAGGGTTCAGGGTGCCAGTGTGACAGATGCCAAGGTATATGGTTCAGGGTGCCAGTGTGACAGGTGCCAAGGTATAGGGTTCAGGGTGCCAGTGTGACAGGTGCCAAGGTATAGGGTTCAGGAATGCCAGTGTGACAGGTGCCAAGGTATAGGGGTTCAGGGTGCAGTGTGACAGATGCCAGGTATAGGGTTCAGGGTGCCAGTGTGACAGGTGCCAAGGTATATTGGGTGCCAGGGTTGACAGTGCCAAGGTATAGGGTTCAGGGTGCCAGTGTGACCCAAGGTATAGGGTTCAGGGTGCCAGTGTGACAGATGCCAAGGTATAGGTTCAGGTGCCAGTGTGCTGCCAGGTATAGGGTTCAGGGTGCCAGTGTGATAGGTGCCAGGTATAGGGGTTCAGGGTGCCAGTGTGAGTGTGCAAGGTATGCCAGGTATTATAGGGTTCAGGGTGCCAGTGTGACAGATGCCAAGGTATAGTTCAGGTGTGCCAGGTGTGCCCAGGGTGCCAGTGTGACAGGTGCCAGGTATAGGGTTCAGGGGTGCCAGTGTGGCAGGTGCCAAGGTATAGGTTCAGGGTGCCAGTGTGTGCCAAGGTATGGGTTCAGGGTGCCAGTGTGACAGGTGCCAGGTATGGGGTTCAGGGTGCCAGTGTGACAGATGCCAGGTATAGGGTTCAGGGTGCCAGTGTGACAGAAGGTATATGGTTCAGGGTGCAAGGTATAGGAGTTTTGACCAGGTGCCAGGTATATGGTGCCAACAGGTGTATAGTTCAGGGTGCCAGTGTGACAGATGCCAAGGTAAGGTTAGAGGTGCCAGTGTGACTGGGGTTCAGGGTGCCAGTGTGACAGGTGCCAGGTATACACAGGAGTGTTTGCCACAGATGCCAAGGTATAGGGTTCAGGGTGCCAGTTGACAGGTGCAGGCAGTGTTGACGGAGTGGGTTCAGGGTGCCAATTGGGGTTCAGGGGTGCCAATTGCCAGGGTGCCTTTGAAACAACACCTTTTTTAAATTAATTAATAGTTTGCAGTTCATTACATCAAGTGTTTTTCTTAGAGTGAATTTGGGGAGTTATTTCGCTCGAGCTATCATAAGACGCTTTAAGTTAAATGGCTTTATTTGGTCTTGTTTTTCCTTTTGTTTTGTTCTCTTTGTTTGGTCCTCTTGTTTTTCTTGTTTTTGTTTGGGGTCTCTTGTTCTCGCTTTGTTTGGTCTCTTGTTTTCGTTTTGTTTGGTCTCTTGTTCTCGCTTTGTTTGGTCTCTTGTTCTCGCTTTGTTTGGTCTCTTGTTCTCGCTTTGTTTGGTCTCTTGTTTTCGTTTTGTTTGGTCTCTTGTTCTCGCTTTGTTTGGTCTCTTGTTCTCGCTTTGTTTGGTCTCTTGTTCTCGCTTTGTTTGGTCTCTTGTTCTCGCTTTGTTTGGTCTCCTTACTGAACCTCTCCTTCAACAAGTTACTAATAATCTTATAAACAGAACAGTAAGGGATCCCACACACTACCCTGAGGAACACCGCTAGACCCACCAATAAGCCTTCTCTTAATAGCGAGGCTCATATGTTTCTAGAAAGGATTTAATTCACTCTTTCACACACACACACACCTCCCTCACCCTATCAGAAATCAGGATAACATGCAGCTACCTTCTCAAAACGTTGTTGTAACGTTGAAAAAATAAAAAATAAAATCTGACAGCATCGCCTTACAGTACGTCCTAAGATGATGTGGCGTTACTGTAGGCGTGAGCTTGGAATAGATGTAACCAAGAAATAACACTCTTAGATGTGCTTACTTAATCTGTTAATTTTATAGGTTTAGATGCCAAACATAATGACACATTGATGCCAGGGAAATCAGTGCTTAGTATCCTTTAAGATTCAATACCATTTGGGTAGGGGGGGGGGTGTCACATATGGATTTTGAGAATCTGGATCCAAAGACCAGACGACTGTGGTGTATTGGTCATAGCAAGAAAATAGATCGTTTTATTCTTTATATAATTATGGAGAAGTTGATCAGTACTTCCGGGTTTTGTCGTGAGTCTTGTGATATCAAACAACATTAGAGGAATCAATGTGACTTATGGCTTGAGTGCAGAAGTAAATAAACTGATATTTTTAATCAATGCAATTTTATATTAGATAATGGAATGATCGTACAATACATATAAGCAAATATACATATAAATAAGATAAATATCCTTATCAGCAAGCAGTGATCCCGTAGTAGACGTAGGAGTCCCAGTTAAAGAGGGTCTTCGTTTGCCAGAGCCTTAGAGCTGGTAGCAGAAAAATCTAAAGCATGAGGCAGATACAGTCCAAGAATCAGGCAGCTTATAAAGACCTAACAAGCTTACATCACCTGAGTTTACAAGACAGATACTCGTAGGACGTCGGAGGACTAGGATAGATTGGACTTTTTGAGCACCAGGATCTCTGCGAACATCAAGGGGCCCTGCAAAGTCCTGTGTACGAGTATGAGCTCCACAGGCATCTACGTTGAAGGGATAGTAGGAATCCTTGAGGTAGCTAAGCGGGGTCTCTGACAGCTAGGAATAGCGATAAGTAAAATTCCATGTAGCTAAACAAAAGAAACACGGGGAGCTAACTCCAGGTAGATGTAAGTCTAAGGCTACCACACAGATGAGGTACCACACAGCCGAGGTACCACACAGCCGAGGTACTCCACAGCAGAGGTACTCCACAGCCGAGGTACCAAACATCTACTGTAGTGTCAGTCAGGACGTCTATCGCCCGCCGTAGGTGGGTGGTGGCTGTGGAGGAGCATATTGTTGGGATGCAGCGGCGGCGGCGTCCTCCTGACGAGCGAATTCGATCTGGGCGATGGCATGGGCGGGGAGAGGATGGGGCGTGGGCAGCAGGTCAGACTGTACCTGGTAACCTGCAGCGTCGGCCACGAAGTTGAAGACTCCTGGGGTGCCGTCAGGGAAGGTGAATCTGTAGGGGGAGGCAGCTGGAGTAGTGGTTTTGACACATGAGGCTGCAGACGTTACGTGAACACAGGGTTTAACACCACAACATCAGTGGATAATTATATTTCATTCTTCGACAACCAAAGACACTCGCCAGGTGTAGGTAGAGGCAACACCTGTCTGTTATGGTCACCGCTTCGGAATACCTGTACCTCTACTTTACACTGGTGTCCGCAGTTTGTACAGAATATAAACAAAAGCTTTCTTAATCTATGGTCCCTGTGTGTTTAATGTAATGAGTCAAAACACAAGGAGACAGACAGACAGACAGAGAGTGAGTGAGTGACCTGTAAGTGTCATCCCCAGAAGGACTCCACAACACATATACTTACGCCCATTCTCCCTTGGTTCCCACGGCGCCAGTGTCTCCTGAGGGGGCGCCTTCCTCCTTCCGGGTGATGCCGTTTGCGCCCTCAAAATTGAATTTGTAGTTGCCGTACCCGTCAGGTCCCTCCTTCTCGTCAACCACAATCTCGATCACTTCCTTTTCACCGTAGGCATGTGGTGGTGGTGGTGGTGGTGGTGGTGGTGGTGGAGGGCCGTAAGTGGGTGGTGGTGGTGGTGGTGTGGAGGCCATAAGTGGGTGGTGGTGGTGGTGGTGGTGGTGGTGGTGGTGGTGGTCCGTAAGTAAGTGGGTGGTGGTGGTGGTCCGTAAGTGGGTGGTGGTGGTGGTGGTGGTGGTGGTGGTGGTGGAGGTGTGGTGGAGGGTAATAAGTGGGTGGTGGTGGGGGTGGTGGTGGTGAGGTGGTGGTGGTGGAGGGCCGTAAGTGGGTGGTGGTGGAGGGGGTGGGTGGTGGTGGTGGGTAAGTGTGGGTGGTGGTGGTGATGGTGGAGGAGCGTAAGTAGGTGGTGGTGGAGGTGGTGGGGGTGGTGGGGGTGGTGTACCGTATATCTGTCTAGATTTCTGTGGGAAGTACGGCGGGGAGAGACATACCGTCGCCACCACCACACACAACAACACCAGCTGAAAACCACAAAAAAAATGAATCCCAATCCTAACCTAACCTAACCTAACATAAAACGCTCCGACCTACCAATTCTTCTAAACACACACACACACACACACACACACACACACACACACACACACACACACACACACCTTTCCTTTACACCTTAACAGCTTAAAACATTAGTGTCTATAAGTAAAGTAGGCAGCGTTCAGGTACCTCATTAACAGGTAAAAATCAAAGGGGGTGTCTTATCTTCAGGTGATCCGAAAAGACGCTTAGACGCTATGTTAAGTTAGATGAAATTACTAGGACTAACCGTAACTATATTCAGCCTTTCACCTCCACAAAAACAAAAGAAACTCTAACACCGGGCAGGTATAATTCCATCAGTAAGTCAGTTAAGGAGGAAGAACAAAGAGACAGACAGATACTCACTGCTCTCATGGCTGTGTTGGGTACTGCAAGCGAGTGACGAGGACCCTGGCTTACCCCCTCTCTTATATCCCAGTGAGGGTCTGTACTGTCACTCCTTCCTTCTGAAATTAGTATTACCTAGGCGTTGTACTTACCCGTCCCTCACGTATACTACATAACACACACAGATGGTTGAGTGATTGTTATGATCTTAATATGTAGGTTGTAAAACAGACGCTAATTCTGGTTACTTTCTGTGTGTGTGTGTGTGTGTGTGTGTGTGTGTGTGTGTGTGAGTGTGTGTGTGTGTTTTATTAGATACACAGATACTTTAATTATGATTTAGAAGCTTCCATATGCCAATGTAACTATTATAAAAATAATAATAATAATAATAATAATAATAATAATAATAATAATAATAATAATAATAATAATAATAATAATAATAATAATAATAATAATAATAATAATAAAATAATAAAATAATAATAATAATAATAATAATAATAATAATAATAATAATAATAATAATAATAATAATAATAATAATAATAATAATAATAATAATAATAATAATAATAATAATAGGTAGTATAATAGTCTTGTCATCTCTTATTACAGAATCTATTTGTATTTTCATGTAACTGTTTGTCTGTACCTCCGTCCGTCCCCTTACTACACGTTTGCGTCCTCTTCACAGCTGCTGTATTGTTCCACCACCACATCAACACCCACAGCACCACATCAACACCCACAACACCACATCAACACCCACAGCACCACATCAACACCACATCAGCGTCGATACAGTTGTTATTAATCTGGGTCGCGATGACACCTCTTTCGCGAATACAAAGTGGATGATATTACCTCTCTCTCTCTCTCTCTCTCTCTCTCTCTCTCTCTCTCTCTCGTTTCGTTTTACTTGTTATTTTATTCCTTTCCTCTTTTTTCTTTGCATCATTTCCATCGACTTTTATTGCATGAAGTGGTGTGTGTGTGTGTGTGTGTGTGTGTGTGTGTGTGTGTGTGTGTGTGTGTGTGTGTAATAAGAAAACACAGTAGATCACAATAACTAAGGATTATCCAATCAAAGTCATTTCAGAAACTCTTAACATCTTAAAATTTCACAAACTACAACTAACAACCTCTGTCTCTCGTCTCGGATAACAACAGAGCCTTTCCGAGTTAACGAGACATGATGTAAAACAATGATATCGTATTGGCTGGGATCTGATTCAGTATTCTCTGCTATAGACCAAATTATGTGTTGCATAAACTAACACGTCTCACCTTGTTCTATTTGAGGCAAGGATGCATTGTTTGAGGTCAAAGTAAAAGTAAAAGTATAACGTGGGTGGTGCCTGTGTGAATAAATACTGCCATTAATGAACGTATAAATTATGGTATACGACGCACTATGTTTAAAAAGTACCACGGACATGATCACCGACCTATGATATTTTGTGGTCATTCATGTTTACTGGGAGACTTTGCTATAGGAAATTGGAACTTGAATTTTAGATTGTTATTTTGGGAGTGGAAATATTTACCCATTACTTCATAACTCAATTTACACTGGAGTTTTATTTTATTATGATCTTTAACCCTTGAAGGACTATATCAGTGAAATAGACTTATTACGCCCACACAGTCACTGCTTCACGCCCACACAGTCAATGCTTCACGCCCACACAGTCACTGCTTCACGCCCACACAGTCAATGCTTCACGCCCACACAGTCACTTCCACGCCCACACAGTCACTGCTTCACGCCCACACACAGTCACTCTTCACGCCCTGATCACTGCTTCACGCCAGTACTGATTCGCAGTCACTGCTTCACGCCCACAGTCACACAGTCGCCCACACAGTCACACGCTCACACGCCCACAGTCACTGCACGCCCTAGCTTCGCCCACACAGTCAATGCTTCACGCCCACACAGTCACTGCTTCACGCCCACACAGTCATTGCTTCACGCCCACACAGTCACTGCTTCACGCCCACACAGTCACTGCTTCACGCCCACAGTCACTGCTTCACGCCCACACAGTCACTGCTTCACGCCCACACAGTCAATGGGTGGCGTCATACAGGAAGATATGTTTACCTTTACTATCTTAACAAACTAATTACCTGTTTATTACAAGTAAACATACCGACGGAAATTTGGTCTCATCTCTTTATTTTGATCACAAATTGTTCACCAAAATATCGTTCATTAGCTAACTCAATTGTTCCTTTTCAGTAGAACAGTTTTTATCTCTTGTATAAATAAAACTTTTATGAATAATTTGTATGATCTTTATTTCAATGATATTTACACATTACTGACCTTATTTTGCTTTTTGGTGGATTCATTTAGAATTCATATAACACACACGTATGTACACACACACACCCTATAAGAGACTTAGAAATATATGAATATCACACGTGAACCAAATGTATATATACAAATTATTAGAATGTGAGGACAGCTAATGTTTGCAGCATCCTTGTGGGAAAAGCTCTGTGATTCGCTCTGAAATTTAGAAGCTGTGACCTCGTTCGTCTTTCTGGATGACTGCGTCCAGCTCGTACCAGAACGGACCCCACTGTAGGGAGGAGGTGGGTTCCAACATTGCCTGAAGCCTCACCTCTACGGCCGCCGGCACCCAGGGAAACCTCAACACGAGAGTGATGAAGTGGTGAATGAAGAAGGTGCTCCTCATGTTGTAGATGTACCAGTTCCAGGAGGAGCTGCCCACGAAGAGCCACCAGAATATGTAGTAGAGGAAGCGGACGTGAGTCTTGAGGCCAGGGATGATCAGGAAGAATCTTGGTACGACGGATATGAGATACATCACCAGGATCAGTGCCATGGTGCTCTTGATGCGACGGTCATCCATCTCTCGCTGTTTGGCTCGGGACGTCGGAGCACTCCTCGTCACCTCAGCCAACTCCTTTTGTGACTTTGCGTAGAAGATGATCAAAGCTTGGACAGAGGCTATGACCGTGAAGCAAAACAGTCCCATGATATAAACATTCATGATCCAGAACATCACGAGGCTGAGTCCGGTCTGGTCATCACTAGGGAGGATTAAGGTTAACATGGTAACAGAGTCAAAGAAGCTGTGCCTCGGAGACTCTTGGCCCAGAAAGACCGTAACTGGGAAGACTACTGCAGTAATCCACATGAAGAGCACGACACATGTGACCCTTGAGGGGGTGAGGAACCTCTTCTCTCTTGGGTACTTACACATCAAAAGTCTCTCAAAAGTGAGCCATCCAAGGCACTGGAAAGACATGATCTCGGTGACCGCAAAAATAATACCACAGAAATTGGAATAATCTCTTCTTACAAACAGCGGTTCGTACACGTTGCCAGGAAACCCGAGGACCTTATCTGAGTACTGTAGCTCAGAGAAGGTGAGGTCACCAGTCATGAGACTCAGGGAGTTGTGGCGGGCCAGGGTCATGACGAACATTCCTCTCAGGAGATCAGAGATGGCGAGTGACGTGCGGACGATCCACCAGGGGTCATCTCTGTCAGAACAAGTGATCATTGTTGCCAACACCAGGACGTTACCGATGAGGGTCGTCACTAACACCACCACACTAACCACCTGAAAGACGACCTGAAGCATTTTCTGTTCAGCTGTGAGGTAGTCCCAGGTGAGCACTATATCAGAGGGCGTCCCCATGTACAGTAGCACATCTTCTCCACTAGATGTTAACCAGAAGACGTCTTGCGTGAGTCGCTTTCTGATTTCCGGAATCTCCATCAGACACATGACAGCTTCGCCACCACACGTCGTCGTCAGTCTGATCCAGCCGACTTGTTCTGCCGTGAGTTGGACCACAGCACAGCACCGCGAACACTCATCTAGTGTATAAGGATGATATGGAGTTTGTAGTTTCTCATTGGTGTAAATCTGTTTAATCTGTTGCCAACATCCTTCTCTCTCTGTTGACAGCTGAGTAGGCAAGGGTGTCGAGGCGTTGAAGGTGGGTGGTTGAGTCTTGGTGAGCGTTGAGGAATAAGACTCCACGCTCCCGATACAGGTGAGGACGATGAGAAGAGAGAAAGCAACCACCACGCCTCTCACATACTGACCCACGCGACATGCCATCAGCTGCAAGAGAGAGACAATAACTTAATGTCAACCGTATTAGTGCAGGTCATTACAGGTCAACATAATATCAGGACCTCGGCGTCAGGGGAGGGGAGGGTGGGGCAGGTCACTAGGTCTGGGGTGGTGGTGGTGGGTGGTTGTGGTGGTACAGTGCCATTTTCACCATCACTCTATTATCAAAGTCATAATACAATTAATGTATAGCCGACTCTGAGAAAAGTTTGTTTTGTAATGTAGAATAAACACTTACAGAAGACATACACACAATAGGTAAATAATAAAACAACAATAATAACTGAACAAAATATATACGTATTATGGCGTTGACTTACGATACTAAGATTAAAAATACTTATGAGTAATTAATTGACTTTTTTTTATTTACTGATGTTACTTGTACCTCCCACGGCCACCCCACAGGCCAGTCGCTGCCCAAGAATTCCACCAATCTGTTTTCGTACCGTGACTCACCTTGATGTACCGCGACTCACCATAGTGTACCGTGACTCACCATAGTGTACCGCGACTCACCATAGTGTACCGCGACTCACCATAGTGTACCGTGACTCACCATAGTGTACCGCGACTCACCATAGTGTACCGTGACTCACCTTGATGTACCGCGACTCACCATAGTGTACCGTGACTCACCATAGTGTACCGCGACTCACCATAGTGTACCGCGACTCACCATAGTGTACCGTGACTCACCATAGTGTACCGCGACTCACCATAGTGTACCGCGACTCACCATAGTGTACCGCGACTCACCATAGTGTACCGTGACTCACCGTGGCGTGGGGGTTAGCAGGAGTGGGTGGGACGGGTAGAGAGGTAACGATGAGACCAGACGCCTAACAACAAGTGACTGCCAGCGAGACTCCCCGACACTACCCATCTATACACAACATGACAGGATGTTCTCACTACGTCATAAAAAACACACACACACGCGCCCTCTATATATATATTTTTTTTCTGTATATTTATAAATTCACAGATACTGGGGTGTTATGATGATGATGATGTGTAGTGATAATGGTTTAATACTCATAAGAATGTGTTTAGTTTGGTTTGGTTAGGTTAGGTTAGGTTCTTATAAAAGTTTTGACGAATTCGTTTCATTGACCGGAGTTATGAGGTTCCTTTTGGAGGATTTTTGACCTTGTGAATATTTATACCATGGTTTAGGTCTACCAGGGAGGGAGAGTAAAGTACCAAGGTGTGAGAAGTTCCAGGTTTAGTTCCGGGTTATCTGTAGAGGCGTATAGACAGCCCGGTGTTTGTTGAGTTGTTCATATTCTTTAAGGAATTTTTGTGGAATTTTTCTGACTTTCTATTGACATAATATTGTGTAACTAAGAGAACTTAACACAAAGTCTTCCAAACGACACTTGATAGACATTAGACAGACATTAGACAGGTATTAGACAGATATTATAACTTGAAAAATTATATATCCAAGTCCCTAAAGGATATAATTTTGCCGTGTAATATTAAAATAGTCACTCACTTGTTTTGGCTCCTTGGGAAATAACATTCATGGTCTACTTTCTCTCGTCTTCCGGAACGAATAGTATTTATTTATTTATTTTTATTTTTTAAATATATTATTGCCCAAAAACTCGTGTAATATGAAAGGTTGGAAATTCGCTATCTTGACCTGACCTGACCTTATTTTCTTTTTATCTCAGGTCAAGACAAATGAACTTACAAGACAAAATAAATGAAGATAATCTGATGGAAAATAAGGTCAAGGGTGAAATTTGCCATGTTTGTTAATCACTCATTAAAGGTCACATCATCTTGTCGGAGGGTCGGCGACTATGGCCCTCTACCCGAAAAATCATCAAGGGTCGGGTTAGGTTAGGTTAGGTTAGGTTAGGTTAGGTTAGGTCATCTTGGTCTTAATTTTGTGATGTCGTTGAAACACTTAATATAACAGAGGTTAGTTTGTCCTATGAGCATTTACAAAGTGAAATAAACGCAGTCAGAGGTTGTATGACGTAAGGACAGTATCGTTGTGGCTGCTGCACCATTTCCTTTGATAGTGGACAAGGCAGGATGCACCGTCAGGAGGGACTTTTCCCGAGGGGGGTTCAGGGAAGCTCGGGGGAGTCCCCTCTTGGTTAGTGTAGACTGTAGAGGATGTTGGTGATTACGAAGTTTTACGTTAACACACACACACACACACACACACCACATTCCTAATTACAGAGTTGAAATGGACTGCCGATAGCCCAGTTTATTGGGTTTCGCCTTAGAAACCTGTCTATCATGCATTGCCTTCGTCCGCCGGTGTAGTCGTTGGGCTCCCATGGTGGTCACCTCTTCCGCCTACACCACCGTTGGGGTCTTGTTGGAGCTCTGTAAGTATGTCTGCCTGATGCTGGGCTCCACAGCAGATTTTTCGTTCGGGGTGGGGCAGCGGGGGGTGGTTGGTAGGTGCCAGGATGTGTCCACATGCCAGTGGGCCTATGCGCCTCCCTTTGGGGCCCACTGCTACTCCGAGATCCCCTGCTGATCTAGCCTGGGCCCACGGGGCACCCAGTTACATTGTGTTGCCACGAGGAGGCACAGCAGGAGTCTTGATGGTGAGGAGGCTGTGTACTGGCAGGGGAAGACTTATGCAAGTTGCTTCCCTGTTCGCCACGAGGGTTAGCCAGCGTCGGTAGCTGAAAGCGAGAGGAAGCAAGCGGTGCTTTTTTTTTTACGGGAATTAGCCCACCTGGGCACGGGTCATCGAACCGCAACGTGGCCTGAGGGGGGGGGAGGATAAGAGTAAAAAAAATAAAAATAGAAAAGAAAAAGATAATGTTACTCTACACCACGAAGATGCCGGAAAACCAACTTTTTGAATTGGGCTCAGATTGTATGAGTATGGAAACACAGTTTGGCTGTGTGAGGAAAGAAGGGTGTATTATAACGGGTTATTCTAGTGTGACCAACATTCACAGAGAAACGGTGGTCACCGTGGGCAAGACGTGTGTTACGAGCCCACGACCTAGCCCTCGGTACACAGGATGCTAAATCCACCGAACATTGCCCGTTAAAGTACCTGTAAAAGAGAGAGAGTGAAGCAACATTGCGGCGAAGAGAAAGGGAAAGAAAATTATCAACTAAAGGAGGAGAGTTAATAAAGCGAAATGCCTTTGATTGCACCCTGTCTAACTGTTGGACAGAAGAAGAGCCACCCCAGATATGAGAGCAGTACTCCAAGTTAGGACGAATGAATCCCTTTTTACTTGAAGCAACTGATCAGGAGTGAAGTACCTGCTGCATCTGTACAGCATTCCCAGCTTTTGAGAGGCAGCTTTAGCAATGTTGAGCATGTGTGGCTTCCGTGACATGTTAGAGGAAATGGTGAGGCCTAGCATGTCTATTTTAGAATTTGACAGAATGATAGCGTCCTGAAATGTAATTAATGGGAGATCATTTAATTTGGAAAGTGTAATTGGTAAATACTGAGTTTTATTACGATTGAATTTAACCAAGTTTCTACCTCCCCATGCTGCACAGATCCGCGTTGATAGATGTAATGATATCAGCTGTGGAAACAGATCTAGTTTGAGAATTAGGGGGAAAGGGGAAAATAAGAAGAAGAGTGACGAGTAGAATAATCAGGGTAAGAGTGGATAGAATTAGTCGAAGTGTGAAGTAAATCATTGATAAATGAAGGAAGAGAGTAGATGAAGGAATAGAAACCTATGGGACACCACTATTGGTAGAGAAAGAGCGAGAGATCGATCCCTTGACAGCAACTGCCATGGACCGGTTCTCAAGAAAGCTAGAAATTAGAGAACAAAGTGGAGGAGAGAAACGATAAGTGGGAAGTTTAGAAAGCCAAGACTTGTGCCATTCCCTGTCAAATGCTTTGGGAATGTCGAGGGCCACGACGAAAGTTTCCCCATAATCCCTAAGAGAGGATGACCAAAGATGGGTGCAATAGGAGAGCAGATCACCAGTAGATCTCGCCTGGCTAAAGCCATACTGGTGATCCGACAAAAGAAAATAGCGTTTAAGGTGACGGAGAAAATAAGAGTTCAAGAGAGTTTCAAAAATCTTAGAGAGGGATGAAGTTTGGGCAATGGGGCGATAGTTAGAGAGATTGGAATGGTCACCCTTCTTCGGGATGGGCTGAGCCAAGGCATGCTTCCAAGAAGAAGGAAAAGTTTGGGTTTTGAGGCAAAGACGAAAGAGGCGAACAAGCACAGGGGCCAGAACTTCAGCACACTCCCTCAGAACACGAGGGGGTAGTCCGTCCGGTCCATGCGCCTTACTCACATCCAACCTGGATAACACACCGGCAACCCTGCGAGTGGAGATTATAGGAAAGTGCCTGGGTTCAGTAGGAGGTGCAGGGGTAGGAGGGGCAGAGTGGGAATCGTCTACGGTGGAGTTAGAGGAGAATAAGGTGCCAAAGAGATTGGCTTTATCAGGGGGAGAGTTGGCTATAGAGTTATCAGGTCGGGAGAGAGAAGGAAAAGAGGGAGTGCAGAGGTTAGTACAGATGTTTTTGGTTAATGACCAGAAGGATTTATTGGAAGAAAAGTTAGTCAGGTTAGCGGTCTTTCTATTTATGAAATTCCACTTGGCCTTACAACGATTCCTAGAAGGAATGAAAGAGGAGTGGGTAATAGGAGGAGATAGTTTTATAGCTTGATATGCCCTATCTCTCTCCCTACATGCAAGAGAACAGGAGCGATCAAACCATGATTGTAAAGTGAAAGTTTTGGTAGAAGATGGGATAAATACATTCATACCACCCTGTATAACCCCAGCAATGATGTCAGCACATACCGAGGCGTCCCGAGTGAAAAAGCAACATTCATCCCAAGGAAAGTCGGTGAAGAATTCTCGCAAGAATTGCCAGTTTGCCCTACGATAGTGCCATAGTTGGCGTTTAGAGGGGGGTGGGGGAGGTGGTCGTGCCCAGTTTGATTTAATAGAAATAAGCTTGTGATCAGAAGACCCTAAGGGGGCAGAAATTGAGTATGAAGAGTGTGAGGGGTAAGAGGTAAAACAAAGATCAAGAATCATAGTAAGTTGATCGTGTCGCTCAGGACGCGCCTAGGGTGTTTGATATTTGTTTCAGATCATTAAGTAAGGAAAAAGAGTGTTCCTCAGCTCCACCTGGGTCCTCCCTTGCAGAGCCAAGCCACTCTCTGTGATGTACATTGAAATCCCCTAGGTAGAGGATCTCGGTGTTAGGGTGTGTGGATAGCAACGACTCATGGCAAGAAGTAAGATAGTCAAAGAGTTCCAAATAGTTGGTAGAGTTGGGAGAACAGTATAGGAAACAAAGAAAAATAGTCATAGTTGGTAGAGATATTTTGAGCCAGATGACATCATAAAGGGAAGATTCAAGATCCGTGAGTCGAGCTATAGGTGTACGTGTGTTGCAGTAGGCTCATACACCTCCCTTAGAACGGAAGGAGGTATAAAGGTTGTAGTTGGAGACTTGAAAAGGTTTGGGTGAAGCTGCTTTGGTCAGTTGAAGTTCAGATAGCAGTAAGAGGTCGGGGGAAGAGGTTGATAGGTGGTGCTCCACAGAAGAAAAATTGGATCTCAGGCCGCGAATGTTGGAAAAATGAAGTGTGAAAAAAGCCGATCCTCCAGCAACCGCGGTGGCGTCAGTTGAGGCCCCAGTAGCTTGATGATGATCAGATCGGCCCTGGGGTCCACAACCTTCCCGACCAGTGGGACCCATCCGAGGAGGCCCCGTTCAATATTATTGTCAACTGACATCATAGGAGAATAAAAGAATAGAAGGAATAGAATAGATCAAGAGTGAGTACTGTTATTAAATGTTGTGTTGTCAATAGTAAGAGAGACAATTGAGACCGTGCAATTGTGTGTAAATGAGGCAGAAAGTCAGATCATCAACCTGGGACTTGGTCACATATGGCAGCAGGGTTCACCATTAGACAATACATTATGCTTCCAATATCTTCCCAGGCGGTAGTACCTCCCTGTTTGGTAGCTGCCTACTACTTACTAACATAATGCTGCCAACTAGACGCATTACACCACCCTATACACATACACACACACACACATAGCAACCACAAAGAAACAGGGGCTTTAAAGTGACCGGGCTCCAGGTGTTAACAAGGCAGGTATACATATCTCATCCCACGTGCAGGTATAGTTAGGTACAAGTGGACGCACCTGCAGACTGCAACAGGTGTAGAATATGAATGAACTTGAGGTGGGTAGACGTTCAGTAATAACTTCACTTTCTCCATCACCAAGATTCTATAGCAAGGTCGTGTGTGTGTGTGTGTGTGTGTGTGTGTGTGTGTGTGTGTGTGTGTGTGTGTGTGTGTGTGTGTGTGTGTGTGTGCTCAAAACTTTTACTTCAGCTATGAGATAATGCCTATCAATTTATTAGAGCATTTTATTCAGAAGCACTGTGTTGTACCCTCGTTATAAGTAATTTGTTCCTGTGTAAGATAAGAAAACACAGTAATTCATGGAAGGTTTTTTTGAACGGATCAGATAAATTAACCATCTGAAAATTTACCCTCGTGTTTGATATATTTTGCCCTACAGTTTTTTATTTAATATTTCGATTTGTACGTCAGAAAATAAAGCTTTTTTATATCCGTGTTATCTTCCCCGATATAAGGTCAAACTTTGTGTTACATTAGAAATAACTTCATCGATGTGTATGGGAAACTTTGCTTAATACTTTCTTGTCCTAAGTTGTGTATAAGTGTTGCTCTGTGTGTAGTTCAACTCTTAATAATGAAGGAACAAGTTTGGCAAAAATCTGGGCATATAGATGGATATAAATTAGTACAGACTTGTAAGCCTTAAAAACCAACTTGAGTTAGGTTTGGTTAGGTCAGGTTTGGTTTGGTTAGGTTAGGTTAGATTAGGTTAGGTTAGGTTAGGTTAGGTTAGGTTAGGTTAGGTTTGGTTAGGTTAGGTTTGGTTAGGTTAGGTTAGGTTAGGTTAGGTTAGGTTAGGTCAGGTCAAGTTAGGTTAGGTTTTATATGAAACTATCCATTTCAATATATATTTTGTTTATGGTCTACATGATTGCTTATAAACAGTCATAAGTTTACAAAAAAATACATAAATAAATATTATAAATAATATCAATAATCAACAATTTTCACCTTTTAAGTCTAACACACACACACACACACACACACACACACACACACACACACACACATTGAAAATACTACTAAAATGTTGGTTTAAGTTTTCAATAATATATTTTAAACCAAGTATATAGTCTTCATGGTTGAGTACCTTTGTCTTTTAATTGAAGAAGATAAATAGTTAAGTTATTGTTATCATTTTGTTATTTTACCATTGACTTTGTACTAATGAGTCACACCTTTATTATTATTCTGTTTGTGGAATGATCGTCGGTACTTGTTCTTCTTGTTCTTGTTCTTCTTGCTCTTGTTCTTCTTGTTCTTGTTCTTCTTGTTCTTGTTCTTCTTGTTCTTGTTCTTCTTGTTCTTGTTCTTCTTGTTCTTGTTCTTCTTGTTCTTGTTCTTCTTGTTCTTGTTCTTCTTGTTCTTGTTCTTCTTGTTCTTGTTCTTCTTGTTCTTGTTCTTCTTGTTCTTGTTCTTCTTGTTCTTGTTCTTCTTGTTCTTGTTCTTCTTGTTCTTGTTCTTCTTGTTCTTGTTCTTCTTGTTCTTGTTCTTCTTGTTCTTGTTCTTCTTGTTCTTGTTCTTCTTGTTCTTGTTCTTCTTGTTCTTGTTCTTCTTGTTCTTGTTCTTCTTGTGTTTCTTCTCCTTCTCCTCCTCTCATTAATGTTCACTGCTTTCACCACTTTCCTCAGCGCTTCCCTCCATACTCTGGTGGTGATACTCTGAACTATCTTCCACGCTGCTGCTGTTGTCGACCACGCCTCTTCTTTCTCCCCTCACCACGCCCACGTCACCTCCAACGCCCTCGACAGGCTGTTGGTTCCTAATCCTGAAGTTTATCTCTACGGGGTTGTCCTCTCTGGCCACCGACGTCTCTTGTTTTTTAGTCTGAATACGAATATGAATCTTCTCAGCTTCAGGATCAACCACACCTTCTACAGGTGGGTCATCAACTTGAATTATTATGATAGATTTACTGTCTTGTGTCTGTTTGTTTGTGGCTATGTCGTCTGTCTGTACGGGGGAGTGTGGTAAGTCTGTGTCCGTCTGTTTCGTTTGGATACAAATATGGACCTGGTCGGGTTGAGGATGGGCCGCCCCATCCTCCTCGACGTGGATCCTGATGACAGCTTCTTCAGCAAGAGGTTCTGATGGTGTGTCTGTCTGTGTGGTCTCTCCGTCTGTCTTCACAATTGTCTGATCTGTTCCGTCTGTCTCAGGTAGGATTACAAGAACCGTTGTTTCTGTCTCTTTAGGAATATTTGTTTCAACTGGAAAGACAGGTTCCTTCGTCGTGTCTGCCTCATGGGGTGCGACAGGTTCCTTCGTCGTGTCTGCCTCATGGGGTGCGACAGGCTCCTTCGTCGTGTCTGTGTCAAGGACGAAGGCAGGCTCCTGCGTCGTATCTGCCTCAGGGGGTGAGACAGGTACCTTCGTCGTGTCTGCCTCAGGGGGTGAGACAGACTCCTTCGTCGTGTCTGTCTCAGGGGGTGAGACAGACTCCTTCGTCGTGTCTGTCTCAAGGGCGAAGGCAGGCTCCTGCGTCGTGCGTCGTGTCTGCCTCCTCAGGGGTAAGACAGACTCCTTCGTCGTGTCTGCCTCAGGGGGTAAGACAGACTCCTTCGTCGTGTCTGCCTCAGGGGGTAAGACAGACTCCTTCGTCGTGTCTGCCTCAGGGGGTGAGACAGGTACCTTCGTCGTGTCTGCCTCAGGGGGTGAGACAGGTACCTTCGTCGTGTCTGCCTCAGGGGGTGAGACAGACTCCTTCGTCGTGTCTTCCTCAAGGGCGAAGACAGGCTCCTTCGTCGTGTCTGCCTCAGGGGGTGAGACAGGTACCTTCGTCGTGTCTGTCTCAAGGACGAAGGCAGGCTCCTGCGCCGTGTCTGCCTCAGGGGGTGAGACAGTCACGGCCTCCACTGCCCCCTGGACCACTGCCGTCCTTGGTCCGCTCTTCGCGTTTGTGATATGTTTATGAAGGCGTTTGATGGCCGACCAGGCATCCCTTACCTGTCGGGAGGGGTCAAGAGAGGTTAGAAACGTCAAAATTGGTTAGGAACATGATAGAAAAGGTTAGTAACAGAATATAAAGGGTCAAAATGGGTCAGTAATAGGGTATAAAAGGACAAAATAGGTCAGTAACAGGATATAAAAGGACAAAATAGGTTAGGAACAGGATAGAAAATGTCAAAATGGGTCAGGAACAGCATAGAAAAGGTCAAAATAGGTTAGGAACAGGATAGAAAATGTCAAAATAGGTCAGGAACAGGATAGAAAGGTAAAAAATGGGTTAGAAATGGTTAGGAACAGGATATAAAAGGTCAAAATAGGTTAGGAACAGGATAGAAAATGTCAAAATAGGTTAGGAACAGGATAGAAAACGTCATATTGGGTAAGCAAAGGTTAGGAGAAAAAAGTATTGGTAAAATGGCAAAAAAGGTAAAAAATGGGATGAGGAAGGAGACTTGGAGTACAGGAAGGAGAAATGGGTGAGTTGAGTACATGATGAGTAGGAGTGAATCGCAAGAAGGAAGTACTCAGAGTGGGTTAAAGTACTCAGGTTAGTGTTAATGTACTCAGGGTAGATCAAAGTACTTAGGGTGGTTTAAAGTACTCAAGGTGGATCAAAGTAATTAGGGTGGATTAAAGTAATCAAGGTGGATCAAAGTAATTAGGGTGGATTAAAGTACTCAAGGTGGTTTACAGTACTCAAGGTCAGGTTAAGTAACAAGGTGGGGTTAAAGTACTCAGGGTGGGGTTAAGTACTCAAGGTGGATTAAAGTACTCAAGGTGGGGTTAAAGTACCCAAGGTGGTGTTAAAGTACTCAAGGTGAGGTTAAGTACACAAGGTGGTGTTAAAGTACCCAAGGTGGTGTTAAAGTACCCAAGGTGGTGTTAAAGTACACAAGGTGGTGTTAAAGTACTCAGGGTAGTTTTAATGTACTCACGGTGGGTTTAATGTACTCACGGTGGGTTTAATGAGTTCTTTGGGTAAAATAAAACCCGCAGCACCTTTGTCTCTTAATTCAATGGTGTAAACAAACGGCACCTTTCCTATACCTGCTACCCAATCATCGGATCCACCTGACGCAGGATCTGGAGGTGATTAACGTGGACAGGTGTGACTATTACGGTGTTGATGAGGTTCAGGTAAAGTACAGGTAATGTGTGTGGACTAGTTTATTTATTTATTAATGGATGAGATGTATTAATTACTGGTTTCTTCTTCTTCTTCTTCTTCTTCTTTGTTAAGTGTTGTTGTTGTTATTGTTGTTGTTGTTGTTGTTGTTGTTGTTGTTGTTATTGTTGTTGTTGTTGTTGTTGTTGTTGTTATTATTATTATTATTATTATTATTATTATTATTATTATTATTATTACAAACATCACAATTACAACTAGTACCCGTATTGCTTTTGTTATTATTATCATTATCACCAACCCATCATCATCATCATCATCATCACCCATCATCATCATCATCATCATCATCATCATCATCATCATCATCATCATTATACTTACACAAGAGTTCGCCTGGGCTACCAACAGCATATGAAGCCCCTCCGTCTTTCTTAATTGCCTTTGCCATTGACTTTCCCACTTTGCTCTGTGGAACAAGGTAGTTAGATAGTTAAATTGTCTAATGAGGATGGGTAGTTAGGTAGGTAGTTAGTATAATAGTGAGAGGTAATTAGGAATATGTGTATATATATATTGTTCTGTATCGAGATGGTGATTGGCCGGTTGAGTAAATGACATGCTCGAAGAGATGACTGAACAGCCAATCAGGGAGTAGCTACATCAATAGGAAGGAGGTGATTGGTTGACTGAGTAGGGCTGCGATGAACACAGTACACACAGATAGTACACATAGAGAGTACACACAGAGACAGTACACACAGAGACAGTACACAGAGACAGTACACACAGACAGTACACATATACAGTACACATAGACAGTACACAGAGACAGTACACACAAACAGTACACACAGACAGTACACAGAGACAGTAACACAGAGACAGTACACACAAACAGTACACACAGAGACAGTACACAGAGACAGTACATAGACAGTACAGGGACAGTGCAGGGACAGTACACAGGGGACAGTACACACAGACAGTACACACAGAGAGCAGTACAGGGACAGTACACAGGGACAGTACACACAGACATTACACACGGGACAGTACAGGGACAGTACACACAGAGACAGTAACATAAACAGTACACAGGGACAGTACACACAGACAGTACACACAGAGACAGTAACATAGACAGTACACAGGGACAGTACACAGGACATTACACACAGAGACAATTACACAGGGACAGTGCACATAAACAGTACACAGGGACAGTACACACAGACAGTACACACAGAGACAGTACACACAGAACAGACACACAGAGACAGTACACATAAACAGTACACAGGGACAGTACACAGGGACAGTACACAGGGACAGTACACACAGACAGTACACAGAGACAGTACACAGGGACAGTACACAGGGACAGTACACACAGACATTACACACAGAGACAGTAGGGACAGTACACATAAACCAGTACAGGGACAGTACACACAGACAGTACCAGAGACAGTACACATAGACAGTACACACAGAGACAGTACCCAGACAATTACACACAGAGACAGTACACAGGGACAGGTACACAGAGACAGTACCAGACAGTACACACAGAGACAGTACACAGGGACAGTACAGGGACAGTACACACAAGAGACAGTACACATAAACAGTACACAGGGACAGTACACACAGACAGTACACAGAGACAGTACACACAGAGACAGTACACCAGAGACAGTACACACGAGACAGTACACATAAACAGTACACAGGGACAGTACACACAGACAGTACACACAGAGACAGTACACATAAACAGTACACAGGGACAGTACACACAGACAGTACACAGAGACAGTACACATAGACAGTACACACAGAGACAGTACACACAGACAGTACACACAGAGACAGTACACAGGGACAGTACACAGGACCAGTACACACAGACATTACACACAGAGACAGTACACATAGACAGTACACAGACAGTACACAGGGACAGTACAGGGACAGTACACATAAACAGTACACAGGGACAGTACACAGAGACAGTTACACACATAAACCAGTACAGGGACAGTACACACAGACAGTACACACAGAGACATACAAACAGTACACAGGGACAGTACACAGACAGTACACAGAGACAGTACACATAGACAGTACACACAGAGACAGTACACATAAACAGTACACAGGGGACAGTACACATAAACAGTACACAGGGACAGTACACAAAGCAGTTACACAGGGACAGTACACATAAACAGTACACAGGGACAGTACACAGGGACAGTACACACAGACATTACACACAGAGACAGTACACATAAACAGTACACAGGGACAGTACACAGAACATTACACACAGAGACAGTACACACAAGACAGTACACACAGAGACAGTACACACATAAACAGTACCAGGGGACAGTACACACAGACAGTACACACAAGACAGTACACACAGAGACCAATTACCACACAGAGACAGTACACATAAACAGTACACAGGGACAGTACACACAGACATTACACACAGAGACAGTACACATAAACAGTACACAGGGACAGTACACAGACATTACACACAGAGACAGTACACAGAGACAGTACACAGAGACAGTACACATAAACAGTACACAGGGACAGTACACAGGGACAGTACACACAGACATTACACAGAGACAGTACACACAGAGACAGTACACACACAGAGACAGTACACATAAACAGTACACAGGGACAGTACACACAGACATTACAGAGACAGTACACATAAACAGTACACAGGGACAGTACACACAGAGACAGTACATAAACAGTACACAGGGACAGTACACACAGACATTACACACAGAGACAGTACACACAGAGACAGTACACAGGACAGTACACAGGGACAGTACACACAGAGACAGTACACACAGAGACAGTACACACAGACATTAACAGAGACAGTACACAACATAGACAGTACACACAGAGACAGTACCCATAAACAGTACACAGGGACAGTACACACAGACATTACACAGACAGTACACACACAGACAGTACACACAGACAATTACACACAGAGACAGTACACAGGACAGTTACACATAAACAGTACACAGGGACAGTACACACAGACATTACACACAAGACAGTACACATAGACAGTACACAGGGACAGTACACACAGACATTACACACAGAGACAGTACACAGGACAGTACACATAAACAGTACACAGGGACAGTACACAGGACAGTACACACAGACATTACACACAGACAGTACACACAGATATTACACACAGAGACAGTACACATAGACAGTACACAGAGACAGTACACACAGAGACATTACACAGAGACAGTACACACAGCAGTACACATAAACAGTACACAGGGACAGTACACACAGACATTACACACAGACAGTACACACAGAGACAGTACACACAGACAGTACCACACAGAGACAGTACACAGGGACAGTACACATAAACAGTACACAGGACAGTACACACAGACAGTACACGAGACAGTACACATAGACAGTACACAGGGACAGTACACAGAGACAGTACACACAGAGACAGTACAGGGACAGTACACATAAACAGTACCTGGGGACAGTACACAGACATTACACACAGAGACAGTACACATAAACAATACACAGGGACAGTACACAGGGACAGTACACAGAGACAGTACACACAGACAGTACACATAAACAGTACACAGGGACAGTACACACAGACATTACACACAGAGACAATTACACAGAGACAGTACACAGGACAGTACACATAAACAGTGCACAGGGACAGTACACACAGACATTACACACAGAGACAGTACACATAAACAGTACACAGGGACAATTACACACAGACATTACACACAGACAGTACACACAGACAGTACACACAGAGACAGTACATAAACAGTACCAGGACAGTACACAGGGACAGTACACACAGACATTACACAGACAGTACACACAGACAGTACACACAGAGACAGTACAGGGACAATACACATAAACAATTACACAGGGACAGTACACACAGACATTACACACAAGAGACAGTACACATAAACAGTACACAGGGACAGTACACACAGACATTACACACAGACAGTACACACAGACAGTACACACAGAGACAGTACACATAAACAGTACACAGGGACAGTACACACAGACATTACACACAGACAGTACACACAGACAGTACACACAGAGACAGTACACATAAACAGTACACAGGAACAGTACACAGGGACAGTACACACAGACATTACACACAGACAGTACACACAGAGACAGTACACATAAACAGTACACAGGGACAGTACACAGGGACAGTACACACAGACATTACACACAGACAGTACACACAGACAGTACACACAGAGCAGTACAGGGACAGTACACACAGACAGTACACACAGACAGTACACACAGAGACAGTACACATAAACAGTACACAGGGACAGTACACAGGGACAGTACACACAGACATTACACACGACAGTACACACAGACAGTACACACAGAGACAGTACGGACATACACAAAACATACCGGACAGTACACACAGACATTACACACAGAGACAGTACACACATAAACAGTACACAGGGACATTACACACAGACATTACACACAGACAGTACACACAGACAGTACACACAGAGACAGTACATAAACAGTCAGGACAGTACACAGGGACAGTACACACAGACATTACACACAGACAGTACACACAGACAGTACACACAAGAGACAGTACACATAAACAGTACACAGGGACAGTACACACAGACATTACACACAGACAGTACACAAGGACAGTACACACAGAGACAGTACACTTCAAGCAGTACACAGGGACAGTACACACAGACATTACACACAGACCATACACACACAGAGACAGTACACACAGAGACAGTACACACAGGACAGTACACACAGAGACAGTTACACACAGAGACAGTACACACAGAGACAGTACACACAGAGACAGTACACATAAACAGTTACACACAGACAGGTACACACACAGACAGTACACAGAGACAGTACACAGGGACAGTACACAATAAACAGTACACAGGGACAGTACACACAAGACATTACACACAGAGACAGTACACATAAACAGATACACACAGGGACAGTACACACAGACATTACACACAGACAGTACACACAGACAGTACACACAGAGACAATACACATAAACAATACACAGGGACAGTACACACAGACATTACACACAAGACAGTACACACAGACAGTACACGGAGACAGTACACACAAACAGTACAGGGGACAGTACACAGGGACAGTACACACAGACATTACACACAGACAGTACACACAGAGACAGTACACATAAACAGTACACAGGACAGTACACAGGGACAATTACACACAGACACACACAGACAGTACACACAGACAGTACACAGAGACAGTACACATAACAGTACACAGGGACAGTACACAGACATTACACAGACAGTACACACAGAGACAGTACACACAGAGACAGTACACACAGAGACAGTACACACAGACAGTACACAGGACAGTACACACAGACAGTACACACACAGGACAGTACACATAAACAGTTACACAGGGACAGTACACACAGACATTACACACAGACAGTACACAGAGAGACAGTACACACAAGAACAGTACACACACACAGAGACAGTACACATAAACAGTACCTGGGACATACACAAGACAGTACTGAGAGACAG